GTCCGGAGACCCACCTCTCGAGAGGACAGCGTGCCGAAGTGCGTGTTCAAGCCATCGTCGCAGAGCATGTAGCACATCTGACCGAGAGAAACATGTTTGTACGCTTCAGGAGTAAACAAACGAGCCACTCAATCCAACTATTCCTTGGACCTCTTGTCACGACAACACCGTATTGGAAAAATAAGGCACAACGCGGAGCTGGGGCTGCGACTTGAGGGCGAAGCAACATCCCCACACAAGTATGTCTCCGCATCGTATCCATGCCGCTCCCCGCACCCACCCACACAAGGAAAAAAAAAATCAAGACCTTCGGTCGCACCTCGGCAGACATGGGCTCATGTAAAATTTTCTTTGGCATTGTCCGGTCGCTGTCCAAGACGGCATAGCAGCCAAGCAGTAAGAATTCAGCCGGGCAGCCTTGAGAACGGAGCCGAAGACGCAAGGGAACAACGTGCCATTCGGTAAAAGCGCAGGACAACAGGCACACGTCGAACTCAACGCGATTAAATAAGTTCTTGAATTTCAGTGCTGTGGTGCTGGACAGCATCTTGAACACAGAACATTCTCTGTGCGGTGTCCGACCAGTTTCCCAGTCCCGGCCGTGACTTAACCAGTGAACTATTTAACCGCCACACACGCCAACCCCACCAACTGCTACATATATTAACCTGGCTTGAACCCTTCCGCAGTGGCCTACAGAATAAAAAAAAATCGGTTGTGAAAGTTGTATGCATATTGTAGAGGGGTCATGACCGGGATGTAACGCCAAAATCTGTTGGGAGACTGGACGGGTTCCATGGATCCTTCCCCCCTTTGTAGTTCAACGAAACTTTTTAAGGATATGGGTATCTCTCATTCTTGCGACGACACGTAGGCACAGGCCGCTTCTGTGGTCTTGAGCTGCAACTGTGTAGGAACGGGGGGAAAAAAATTTAATGAACGTATGAGCCGTGGGGGCTTGCATCCTTGGACTTCGCCTCTCACAGAGCAAGCAGATAGCCCATCATCGCGTGGTGTTCTATGTAGTATGTGTCTCCTGCGACCACATCCTACTCGCATCATCTCTCAGCACTCCAATGTCCAAAGCTACGCCTCATATTGGACGTTCAATATCCATGGTGTCGAGGAACCTCGTGGTAGCTTACGATGAATAGGGCAATATTCTGCATGCACGGGGTACATGGTCCAAGTGTTGACTACATCCGACCAGCCTCAGATGATGTCAGGTCATACCATCTCGGAGATCTATCCTCAAGGCGTCGCCGCTAGTTCAAACACCGTTGAACCCACATATAGAGTATAGCGGATCAGATGTCCCCCTCTCACACTCAACCCGTATAAATGCCGTTCTACCATTCTCACGAGAGAGGTCGAAGTCGGTGTGTATCCCATGAGCCGAAGCGCGAACCTGGAGAGAACCGTCTCACTCATCCGCCTTGCCAACCATGAGAGGGCCGCAGATCTGACTTGTCATGCGTGTGCAGATGTAGGACTTGATTGTGTTCGACATCCGTATATGTCAGCTGGTGCTTCATGTCTCACATGTACATATGAAATGGTAGAAGCAAAGATCCTCTGTGTACAGCAGTGGGCCCTGTATAGTGCTGGTCGAGTAGTGCCGGGTGCCCGGTATAGTGCCGGTGTTTTCGGCTCTGACACTCTAAAATCCCAAGTCGTTCTGTACTTTGGTTGGTGTCAGTGTCCGGTATAGTGGCGGTAAAATCTCTGGACACATACCGGCACTATATGACTGGGCCCACTACTGCTGTACTCTAAAAGATCTCAAGAGAGGCGATACACACATAGACTACACCCGCCGATAGATGATTTCAAGCACGACGGCACGATGCGCAATACTCACCAGCATTCACCTCGGCAGAGATTAGCCCCACCCCTACTAGCCCTAGGGGTGCAGAACGAGCCCACATCTGTCCTGATATGTATCTTGTGACTTTAGCACATTGCTGTGGAGGTGAAGCACGGCACAGCCGCTGCCCACAGCAGAGAATTATTACAGGAAATACGCAAAGAAGCTGAGTTTCCCCGCGATCATTCAATCCGCGTATGCCCTGGCATTTTGTTGCGGGAGCCATCTGCGGTCCCCCAGCGCGTGCAGTGTGATCATGTTTGCATTGGTGCGTCTCTGCTCTCTGCTCTGTTCGGCCTCGGCGCTATCTTGCGGGAGCCTATTGCCTCGGCGTAGGTAGCAGCCCCACTCCTGGATGGCGACGGATGACTGATCAGGTCCAAAAACACGCACGGGCACCTGCCAACTGCCGCAAGGCGAGTGAATTCTGACAGTCCCGCCCTCCCCCAAGAAAAAAAAAAAACTACTGGAACATATCTTTCGGTTGTAGACACCAAACACAAACGCTTATGCATTTTGCGCACGCACCACGCACACAGCTCACGCACCAACGCAATTATCACCCTGCATGGCCCAAAGCCCTGCTGCCAGTACCCTCCCGGTATCAGCACCTGTGTAGCAAAGGTTCCTGTCCGTAGATCCAAGTGTCTGGTTCCGTGCCAGTCGCAGCACAGGGTTGTGCTAAGGGGCGGAAGGCTACAGCTGCAGGTGTGATGAAGCTACTAACCCTCTCGGTGCTCTTTGTACATCTTCCTAAGGATCAGGCAGGTGAGGGTGTCGCTAATCAGCTGATTCTTGCAAGTTGTGGACCGTGGCCGGCTGCTGAACACATAAGCGGGCTCAGCAGAGTCGCCGATTGACTGACGAGCCGGCGATGGGTGACGGGTGTGAGTAACACAAGGGACTCGGGCCACAGTGTACGCTCGTGTGGATGATCTGGTCGTGGAGGTCAACGACAGATAATAAACAAGCGCTTATTTTCTGATGAGGCCGTACCTTGTTTTCGTCGCTCAGACCGAGTTGTGTTTCCCAGGGCGTTTCTTACGGTTAGAAGAATCGAGTAGAGCTGCGAGGACCACGGATGCGTGTTTCTTGCACACAAAAGCATGTTTTCTAAATGATCCCTTAGACTATATATGTTTCTCGTCGATGCTATTGAAGCCTGAAATTTTGGCCAGCGGTAGGTTGGTTTCAGAATTATCGGGTATTGTGAGGTTTGGCCCTTTGTCATTAAAATACTCTCCCTTCCAGTCTCTTGGGCAAGCTAGAAATCATTGTTTTTGCAAGAAAGATGGTTTCCCTCGCGTTGATCCTCAGCGGGTATTGGTACTCCATGTTTCCATCGCCATCGTACTCTGTTTTCAGGCCGTATCATCGAATCCGGCCAGACAGCATCAACCACCAACCCTTTTGTGTACGCATGAATCGTGTCGAGCACTTGGAAACACCTAGACTACGCGTCTTGCGTCCCTGCAAAATCATTCCTCCTCAACTACAACGCGGGACCAATCATGGGCTTCGCCCGATGTCGGTGGCAGCCTTGTTCACCATACCGTTCCGAACGCCCTGCCTAACGCCGTTGCCTACGCCATTGTAAACGCCAACTCTTTCCTTCCGCTTCCGCTTTCAAGGCTGCCCCGCTGACTATAGGCTGGTTGGCTGCTTCGATGACTCGAGAGACCGTCGCATCATGCCTTGGGCGTACGTGATGAGTCAGAAGGAGCCCATGTCTGCCATGGTAAAGAATATATTTTGGTTCGTTGGAGTCGAAGTCTCGAGAGGCGACCTCAAGATAGGGGCAGAGAGGGTGGGCGGTTGTCTGCACTCCCCCCCGGGGGCACTTTTTTTCAGGGTGTGCGTGCAAGTCTTCTCTGGTGATGTCCTCACCACACCGCAAAACACCTACGGCAGCATGCCCAGAGGGCTCTTTGGTGGGTTGCGATGCGACCGTGTCGCCATAAGCATCTTAACAAAAAGAAACGGGGGAATTCATAAAGCAAACAAACAACCGTCAACTCAAGGGGGAGACTTGCTTTATTGTTCTACAAACGTAGTTCCCCCCGGCAAACTAAATCCCCCAAAATGTTTTCGGGGGCGGGACAAATTTGCGCTGAGGCGGGGCAACTCCTAAGTTTGCAAACAGTCGGCGTTCGGATTTTTAATTTAAAAAGTATTTTCAGGTACCTGTGGGTGGATGCGACTCGTTTGCCGTCCATCTGGCTCTTGGTATACCCTTCCTTGCAGTTCTTGTTACTATTCCTGTATGCTTGAACATGCCCAGCGTAGCAGTTTGGAGACACATGCGTATGATCCGGAAACGTTTCCAGATTACTTGGTCGATATCTGCAATAAAACCCCACGTTGCTCGCCTGTTTCCCATTAACTCGTCTAACCTTTTCGAGCAATCAGCAATGCTGCCTGATCTGCGACGACGGGATAAATACGCACTTCGGCACGCAGAACTCTAACGAGGTGCGTACGCGACACAGGTTGACCGCCTACTGGAATTCACCTGGCTGTGTCTATGCCAACACGTTGACCGTGGGCCTTCAACGGTTTCTGTTTGGTGGCCGTCTCTATCCATAACGATGTCCGTACCAATTGCCGTACTGAAAACTGGCATGATGGGTTTGGGATAGGTTGGCGATTTTCCTTCCACAGGTTCGAAGCAATGATTGTGATATTCGTACCAGCTGCGACTCAAGTCGTCAGGTGCTAAATTCTGTAAACATGTCGGCCCGTTTGGATCGGTGCACACGATCACCACGTGCGAGAGTTGGCGTATCGTGTTTGACGACCCCCCTGTTTCCTTTTCAGCCATTCGAGTGCCGTCCATTCCCGCCCGGGTGCTGGGTGCCATGAATATGCACCCCCGCCCAAGCAGCATGGCACTGTATCGCCAAGAACACTTGCTGAGGGTGTTGCATGCATGTAAAAGTATATCTAGGTCGTAACTGAGGCAAAGTACCACGCCCAGACCAAGCATGTGCTCAACGGACGAAATTGGGGGCAGCTCGTTCCCGCCAAACACCTATTTGGCTATGCCGTGGAATACTCATATCGACAGTGCTGGTGCTCCAGTGAACCGGAGCTAAGCGAGTTTGGTCCCAAACTAAACCCCGGCGACTGCAACATGCTGTGCGACGGTACCACCATCGGTGAGACGTGTGGAGGGATACACAAGATGAGTGTGTACGAGATCACATCATACCAGGGCTGCGACAGCGAGGAGTTCGATGTACTGTCTCAGCACGCTTCCTCAGAACATCAGCAGATAATGGGGCAAGATAATGGGGCAACCCTGGGACTACCAGGAAAAATTCGACACGTCAAGCTTCTTCATACCGACCAAGCGCGGTGTCTCCTCTTTGATCAACGCGAGTTTTCCTGGGTCGTGCAATGTGTGAGATCCAATCGCCAGTTCAGTACCTTCATGCAGTTTGTTGTGCGAGAGGTGGCAATTCCTACGAACTGAACGTGCATCGTTACCGTGGGTGGGTCTCGTGGGTTGTTGGTAGTGGCGTCTTCTCGACATCCCAGCCCGATGTTTCGTCTGCAGTGCTTGCTTTCAAGGCCGTTCAAACCGAAGTTGGAAATTGATTGCGATGCGCGGACCCACGACATGGCAACTGCGTCTACCGCGTGGTGGCAGCCGACCTCCTCTACCTTATGTATATGTACTTGGGGGGGTTGAAGGTCACATGGTACCTCATGAAGCCTCATGGCGTGTCATGGAACTTTGCATGAGATGTATTGTGTGAATCAAGTACCAAGAACACCCAATGTCGTGGTAACACACCATATCCTCTAGGGCTTCTTTCTTTTCCCACCGGCGAGAGTTCAGTATGAAAGGTAGCATCAGCAGTTTTCACACATTTCGACTAACACAGACAAAGAGCGACACACCTCGGATAGTACGCATGGTGGTGCTGATCTGGTGAAACGCAAACTGAGTACCTCGTTTTGGATCTGGGCAACTTCTGCGAGCACCAAGTCGAATCGGCAGGTCTTGTATTCCAGACGAATTAGCCGCTTTGACGAAGGGTATATGTTTTTCTGTTCGGCTCCGCGTTATGTACTACGAAGTACATGATACACTGGTTGTACTTGTGTTTTAAGGCGGTGTTATTTTCTTGATGTCCTCCATACTCTCAGGGAAGACGACCACAAGAAACTCCTAGCCCAGATCGACGTCTGGGAAGGTGCCGAAGAAGGTGCACCGAGAATATTCTGCGGTATCTACACGCACGAAAATAACCACGCGACGAAAGTGAAGGTAGGTCAGCAGTGGATAGAGTAAGACGACCCTTGTTGAATGAGGAGCGCTGGCAATGTTGCTTGTAGCGCCGCACAGATATGGTTGTGTTGTGATTCACGTCTCCGCGCTAGGGCTTGTGATGAGACGATACACCACTGCTGGTCGCTCACTATCGATCCAACCAAAGGAAATGTAATGTTGGTTACTTTCACATCTCAATTTTGAAGCGTTTGCAAACGCAGTTTGATGCCCAACCTCCGACTTTCGACGACCGTACGTGATACCCCCGGAATCACCAAGTGTTGTTGCTATTTTTACGCGATTTTTCTCAACCCCTAGCACATCACTATATTCCACAAGTAGACGGATATTTCTCGCAGAAGATCCCTACGGTAGGAATGATATAGCGAGCCCAGACATCCTCTGTGTCTTGCTCGCCATGCACAATTTGCTTTCCTATTGATGGTGCTGTGCCGGGGGCGTTCGCATGGGGTGCTGAATTGCAGGCGGTTAAGGAGACATGGGCGTCGCACTGCGATGGGTTCGTGGCTTTCAGCGACGTCACTGACCTCGAACTTCATACGTGAGAATCTTTATCTTGGTTTTTGTTGACTCAGGACTAGACTGTGTGCAGCGAAAAAAGGCTGCGCAAGGGCTACGAAGTATAGAGATGTATAGAGATGACTATATGCCGGACAGTCTATTGAGCGTCGCATTTCCAACAGGAACGACCAACCGAGCCCATTTTCCGTGATGTGCGATTTTTCCTCAAGTACGCATAACTGCACCGAAAAAATCTGTCAACAATGTTGCCCGGGCGAAAATGCTGTCCGGGCGCCACAAATAAGGTTTAAAATCAAACACGAAGGCCCTGAAGAATATAGCAACATGTGGCAGAAGGCCAGGGCAATATGGAAGTACATCAACTTCCACTACAAGGACGATTTCGACTGGTTCGTTCTTGGCGGTGACGACCTCTTCCTTATCGTGGAGAACTTGCGAAAGGTGTGTTAGAGTACGACGACGAAGATATTGGCCCCGAAACCTTTCTACTCGGGGTCCGGATTGTGGAATCACATGTTGTCTTATTCAAAGGCGACTTGCGATTGTACTTCGATGTCTAATGTAATGCTTTCACTCGCGAATTGTCCGTAGTAAAATAACATAGCTCGCACACGGAGATTACACAGGTTTTGCCCCAACGCAATCGTGTGGTATGTGTTCATATTGGGGATGACATCACGAAGCTTAACACAGGCTCCTGGACACCAATTTACCGTATGTTATCTTAACTGCCAAATACTACGTTGATTTGCACCCCTTCTTCCCCGTAACAAGTACCTGCTATCGGATGAGATCAAGGGTGCGGCGGGAGGGTTGGAAAATGGGGGTCCAAATCCAATGTACCTCGGAAGGCGTTTCCGTTTTATCGGCGAGGATCGCATATACAACAACGGGGGACCGTCATATGTGCTCAACCAGGCGTCTGTGGGGCTGTTGGCGAGTCACTTGGACGATGATGCCTGCCAGCCACATGCTGCAAAACACTGGGAAGATATCCTGGTGAGTGTGCCAGTAGTGTAACGAGAGGCATCCGACATTACGGGGCGGGAGGGTCGAGGGGGAGTGAAGACGAAGAAAGGCGCAAAGCAAGGAATTCCTTCTGCAACGGTTTTATCGTAGAGTTGGCCCTCTCCACTAGGCCGAAATTTGACGGCGGTCGCGTTTTCCTCCCATAACACCAAGGCAGACGAACGGCAAAAATCTAGAACAAAACCTGTTGGACATTTTGAGTCCGGTTTCGCATGGGCGTTTTCTGCATGCCAGGTTGCTTGGTGCTTGAAGAAAAATGGCGTGGAGGCGTTCGACACTCGGGACGCTCTTGGACGTGAGCGATTCCACCCGTTCACGCCCGCAGCCCACTTCGGGTGAGCGTCAAGGGTAGATCGTTGCCGTTTTCAGTACGATGGGCGGCATTACGCCGTGCAGAAACAAGACCGTGTCTTCTGTTGTCGTCTACAACGTACTCCGAGTATGCAACAACATTCAAAACTGTGCAGATACCAGTTCTTGTTTGCCACGACAACAACCAGCCAACCAGAGAAAACCGCACATCGTGTTTTTTGTTTCCCGAGCAAGGACCTCGCAATCCGTTCCCTAGTAGGTACTTTGAGGAGGGTGGACTCGAGGGGTGTTTGTGGTAGGCTGGGACACAAGGGGACTTGGGGGGGCTCGTGGGGTGCATGTGTTATTCTGGGAAACAAGGGGACCTATGTCATTGGTTTTGTCATCCACCAATCGAAAAAATAGTGCCACAGCGTTTACTTGTTAGTGTTACTGTTTTCGCGTTAAAACCGTTTCCGACCTCTGCCCAGTACCTCTGAGCATATGCTCGAAAAATCCCAGATGTGCTTTAGGCTCTACACAGCAGCAACAGAGTCAGCAGCATTGCTGTGTTGCGTGTGTAGTGGCAAGATTCCTCCCGAATTCCCTCGACTACCGCTACAATGTTCAGTCGTGACATCTGACCGCTAATTCGAGTTTTTTTTTCTCCAGCAGTTTGAGTGGTAGTCCCTCCGTCCGTCACTAATGAACGAAGGCGGCGGTTTCTGCCCCAGGAAAAGGACGTGTTTCACCGTTTAGTTTTCCACATCTTTATCCACGCACGACGCTTTGTTTCGATGGTTGCCATGTGTCACGTCTTGCATATTTTTCAGAGGAAGTTGCCGTGAAGAAAGCATGTCTGGTTGCGCTCTACTGTGGCTGGGTCGTATCTTGGCAGGTATCGCATGCCCCAGAAGCTAGAGGACCGTCTTGTTTCAGGATGCGTGGTTGGTGCGTGGTACATCATTCAGGGCATTGATCTTAAGTTCGGCCGCGAGTGTTGTTCACAAGACTCCCTCAGCTTCCACTACGTGGGCGAGCAGGTCTCGAGGCGACTTCACGATCTCATCTACGCTTGCCCCAAGTATCAAGCAGATGCACCAGTAGTCGCCAGAGTTTGAGTTTCTCCTGCTTGCGTGAGTTTGAGCATGCCCCTATCGCGCTTTCTTCTGGAATCCGGTGCGAAATGAAAGGGTCTATTTTCTTCCAGATGAAAGATATTCGGAATGGAGCTCTGACAAGGAAAATGTTTTTCTTCGACCCCATATGCGGGTGGTAGTATCGGAGGCAGACGACTTCGAATTCGGGGTTACGCTCTGCGTGGCGAGATATAGAAGGTTAGCAGGATCGACTCTTGCCCACTACACTGACTGAGGGTGACCCGGTGTATTCATCTGTGCGTGAAGAATGTGTTTGTGAGAGGCCCGTAGACTTATGAAGCTAGGACGGAATTTCATTTGGCTGGCTTTGTGGTGAACAAGAAAAAGAGTGGCTACGATACGAAGCTAGTTATTGCGGTTGTTGTGTCTACAGAATCTTCGTGTATGATGATGGCCTCTCCATCTTAGGCACAGGGTTCGGTTTAGCTGACGACGTATAGGATTTCACTGGTGGCACAGCTCACCACTCTAGTCAAGATGCCCGCAATGGCATGTCCGATAGGCAGGTGTCACTTACTGCATGAGTATGTGGGAGCTATTACGGCTGGCATTTCTGTATTGGGTATATGTGGACAGGTCTTCTTTTCTTCTTTCCATTTGTTGTCAGCTCGAAACCAGTTAGGCCTAGGTTGAACACAGGATGTATTCCATCCTATCATCTTCACCGTCGAAATGCTGTTTGGTGCCTGCGACGGACCACACACTGTCAACGAAACCACCACCGTAGCTACCTTCTCCAACATATGTAAAGACGCGCGCTTTCTTCTTGAAGGTGATGCAAGTCTCATACCGTACCGTCCGCCAAGTCCTTTCGGCGGGTTTGGGGGCGGCCGTTGGTTGCGTCGGCGAGGTCCATGGATCGAGTCCTGGGCCTGCGTGGGCACTGCTTCCACGGTGGCTTCGACTGCCTCCGCGGCGTTTCTTCTTCTTCTTCTCCTTCTGGAGCAGTTTCTTCAGGTCACCATAATTTATTGTGCCAAATCCTGAACATCATGAATCTATTGTTCGCGTTATCCCAAAATAAGACATTTGCCGCTTCTTCATGCGCCCGACAGCACAGTCAACGCTAAAAATCAAGATATTATAAAACAGGCACAAAAAGTAAAATGCTGAGGGAGCCTAATATATATAGCCTCCCCCATGCGCCCCCCACGTAGTGTCAGATCATGGCCTTCACAACAAGCGTTTTACTTTTTCAGCCGCACTGAGACTGACGCATTCTCATTGGTCAACTGGTTGGCGCGGTCGATGCTAAAAGTAGTGTACGCTACCCACAAAACCGGTTAACGTGTTCGATGTAAACAAATAAAGACACACACACGCGGAGGGGGGCCAAAAAAAAACGGAGATACTGTACATGTACAAAAGTAGCGAGCAAACATGGGTGGTAGACATGTGCATTTATTTCTCTTCATCTACGACCGATGTCCGTTGTTGCGCACAAGTTCCTGGCAGTCTCGTAGACTAGTACTGCACCTACCCTCACGGGGTCCGAGATCGTGGCCTGGCCGTTACAGTGTTTTCCATTGTGTGCTGCCAGGGGTGGAAGGGAAGACAAGACCGAAGCCGACACAGACAGTGTATTTTTCCGAAGAAAGTGTCATTTTTATTATTATTTTCCACGAAGTCTGAAAGGTAACTCTCTGGCAAATAACGAGGGGGCGACACCAGTCGCTTCCCTCTCTCATCCAGAATCCAAGTTCCCTTTCATGTCAACTGGCCGGGCCTAACAAAATGCCGTCTCAGTATACCGAGACCCCCAATGGTACTCTACCATTGACATCCACAATCAGACCCTCATCACCCAGTTCCCCGTGGAATAATAGCAATCATATATCGACATGTCCACTACATATCCTCCCGGTATACATACCCCCGGTTATCGCCCCCCCCCCCCCCCCCTCTCTTTCGGAAAAAAATCGAGGGTGGCGTGGGTGGGAAGACGACAACACTAGCTCCCGGAACAGGATGTCCTAAACCAGCAGCTGGCAGTGTTGTCCAATCGTACGTCTAGCAGTCCCTGTGCTCCAGCACTGCTGATGCTTCAACGTGATCGGGCGCAAACGGAATGTCCTGCGAGCAGCTGCCTTATCTCGGCGCGCATGCCTCCTCTCCTGCAAGCACGCAGACATACTCTTTGCCATATAATATAAATGCCCACTTCTTCTATCAACTCCAATAAACACCAATTTCAGACTCTTCCCCCCTTTGGTAGGATCCATCTGAAATATTCGCTTTTCTTTGTTGTAGTCTAGTGTACTGTCGTCTGTGTAGCTTGTACACGATATCATGGCATAGAACTCATTCCATAATAGCAACGGGACACCCAGCGCGAGAGATTGTGGGCAGTGTAGGACGCACCCCACCACTGGTGTATAGAGCAGGCATCGAACGGACAGTACTGCCAAGGATGTTCTTCTGGGCGTTTTTTTGTTTACTCGCTCGCTTGGTTGGGTGTGACAGCCGAGAAGCATGGGGTACATATAATGCCCGGGTTCTCAACAACTACATAACACCAAGCATCCAGCGCGTGGATCCTGGGCGCAAGCATAATGATAAACTTCACCGTCGACAGGAGATCTACCCGCCCAAATAGTAAGGACATCCAATATCCAAATCCTGGACCCACGGACAAAAGATCCATCACCCGCGGCGCCCCCGAATCTCCGAAATCTCCCGATTGGCGGATTGATCAAATGCGGTCCCTAGGGAACCACACGGCGATCTCGGCGGCGAGAGCGGGTGAAAAATACCATTGTAAGATCCTTACGTTAGAGCAAGTCAACTCTTCACATCGCAAGCGTGCACAAGGCCACATATGCCAAGGTGCATTGATTGGTTCTCCTGCAGACGCTAGGAGTTAGCGTGTTGAGTTATTACAACAGCGAACGACTGCTCTACTGCGGTGTAACATACGCAGTTGTTTCCCCGTGAGCACAGCGGAGAGCGGGGCATTGTACGCCGTAATACTTCGGGACATCAGTGCACGTGAATTGTCGTTACGGCAGATACGACGTCAGGCTACATAAATCGATGGCATCGATCTTTCGATCTCCGCGCATTTCTGCTGCTTCCAAACTTTTCAAATCGGCCATCGTTTGGAGTGTCTGCTGGTGGTGCTGCAACGCTGAGCCCGCAACACGGGGGAATCCTACGGCATCCTCTCGTCTGCCGCTGGCGGAGCCAGCTACAGGAGGGGCAGGAGCACCAGAAGGGTGGACTGCGCTGACTATGGTTCTCAAGGAGGGCGTCCAAAGCCAGATGACGCGGACGAGGCAGAGGTATTTCATCTTTTTTCTTACGAAAACAACGAAATCTCTTCGTTCATCAACAACACAGGCCGCACCGCATTACAAAGTACAGAGCAACAAGTGGTAGGGAAAACATTGCTATTTATAAACGGGAGCGCAAACTGTAAGAGTCTGTGATAGGTTAGCAATGAATTCATGGCGTTGCATCATGACCCCGTGTTTCTACGATTTCCGAGCAGCATACCGCATCAACGTCTCCCCGACTCCCTTCGCTACATACGCCCCTGGGGTTTTGGGCATATTTTTTTACACTCACCCGTACTGCTGTGGTGATTTCCAGGCATGCATAGCTTACAGCCTACCCTTTTTGCGTTTTTTTTTTCTTCTCTGGCCCAGTCAGGAGCCACAGAGAATAGTCTGCCAATTTTCAAAGCTGCTAAGACGCGGTTCAATGATTCTTCTCCCCAGTGTACACACGAACGGGTGCATCGGTGGTGCCGTAGATACTTTCTTTCATCTCCACATCTCA